CTGCAATCCCTGGGTATGAAATAATGAACGGTCATCATGGTTTCGGACGTTTTTTATTTTCTGATTTCTAACTTCCCATCTTATAGTTAAATAAATAAATTGATTGATCTCTCTACATTATTAATTAAGAGAAAAACTTCGGTGTTAAGTTTTTAATCTTTGCCGAACAATCTGTTTTGAGTCTAGAATAAACAATTCCTTACAAACTACTAAACCTTCAAGAGTTTTTTTATCATTAAAAAAAAATATAACTTCTGTTTTTAATTTATTCTTCAATTATTTCGACCTGTATATCATTAGACCGAAAATTCATTTCAAGCTTCAGTAATATAATAGTAATAATTCAGAAACATTGCTTATTATTATAATACGAAATTTTGGTCTGACAAAAATTCTCAAGAAAAGTATTAATACAGATTTCGTTACATCACCTCATTGTCATGACATGTCGTGTTACATCAAATCGTTATATTATGTAACTGTTCCGAAAAGATTACATATATATAAAATATTACCTATATATAAATCTATTACGTTATATATTTATATTAATATATTACAATAATACTTTTTTTTTATAAAAATGTACTTGCACCTGTCAACTTATTGTTGACAATCAGCAAATGTGATGGGGATACATGAAATAATGACATGACAGGGATGGGGAAGGAAAGTACTCAGCAGTACCTCTTCCCTAACTTGTTCCAATTACTTAGGTTGTCTAAGGAAGGAGATCCCTCATCCAACGCCTTTTTAGTCTCCTCCTCATGTTCTGAGGTATGTCAGCTGTGGCCATGTCTCTTATTAGTCTTATGTCCGTTTAAATTAGTTTAAAATCGTTGATGAAGGATCGTTATATGTTGGCTAACTGTTGGAAAGTGGAGGTCAGTATGCACAGTTTTGTTAGTTACGTACCAAGGTGCTTTTGTTATGAGTCGTAATAATTTTGATTGGAACGTTTGAATTTTTTGTAGGTGGGTCTTTTTAGCGATGCCGTATATTTGTGAAGAGTACGTCCATATGGGTTTAAGTAAGAATTTATATGTATTCAGTTTCTGTTTTAGTTTTAATTTTTTTTTTCCTCCTCGATCCCTGATAACCCCCCGAGGCGTCTGAAGAGAAGATGGCCTCGGGACCTTCTAATATAGAACTTTAATTTGAGTTCTACCAATGGGTAGTTTCTCTTCATGTTGTACACATCATGTTAAAAAAGGTCACATTTATTTGTTGTATTTTTCATGTAGTACAGTTGTAAATTTCATTAAAATAAAAAAAAAAGTTTTAATTTTGAAGATTTAGAAAATCTACAATAATACTTAAATTATACCCCTTAATGTAGAAACAACTGAAATCAAACTTTACATATTAGTTTATCAGGGTTTTTATCAAGGTCTATTATATCGAAGATTGCATTAATGAATACAAAATATTTGTTTTCGACGTCTCACGTTCATCAGTAAGAGCAAAGAACTTTTTTAAATTAATTAGATCTTATAATTTGTTGTTGTTGTATGTTTTGAACATTTAAATAAATAGACATAGCCTATTAGATTTTTATGAGTTAGTAAAGTAGGAAAAAAAATATATCGGATGCATCACCTAACATTCAATAACTATTTTCGGTAATAATGAACGTTTTAAGCATATTAACAGTTTCAAAAAATTAATCTGCTAATTATCACTACCATGACAAGTGCGGATGAAAAATTGAAGACAAAAAAAAAGGAGGTGTGTACATTAGATCAAACGATAGAATTGAAAACATTAACAAGGCGAGATTAATAATATGAAAATTTTTTTTTTTTTTGTCTTCAATTTTTCATCCGCACTTGTCATGGTAGTGACAATCAGCAAATTGGTGGTCATGTAGAAAATGGCATAACGAAGAATGGAACCCAACAGCACCTCTTCCCTGGTCTGTTTACATCCTAAAATCAGGAAAGGAGATCACTCATCCAGCTCCTTTTCAGTCGCCTCGTGAAGACCATTTCAGCCGTGGCCATGTCATTGATAAGTCCATTGTGATGTCCGTGTAGTTTAGAATGAAATCGTTAGTAGAGAGTACGTATGTGCTGGTCAATGGCTGGTTGTCTTAGGTCGGTATGTAAAGTCTTGTTGTTGACGTACCAGGGAGCTGCAGTTATTAGTCTTAAAATTTTTGATTAAAAGGATTGTAGTTTTTGTAAGTGAGTCTGTTTTGCTGAGCCCTAAATCTGTGAGGCGTATGTCCAAATAGGTTTGAGCAGGTAAGTGTATGTATTTAGTTTTTGTCTAATTTTCAATTTTGATTTAGAAAACGGGGAGTATAATATTTTCAGTCGCTTGTTCAAAGTATTTCTTTTCATTTTGACGTGTGGGCCCCAGGTCATCCTTCTGTCGAATATTAGTCCGAGGTAGCGTATAGTGTCCGTCTGAGGAATTGGATTGTCGCTGATATAAGCTGGTGAGCATGTTTCTCGTCGAAGCGTAAATGTTATGTGTTGTGATTTAATCTAATTTTCCAAAGTGAATATCAATTTTGTAAATTTAGTAAGTGATTTTGTAAATTTAATGAGGCTAGTCTGGGGTCGTGGTTATATATGAAATATGAAATTTAAATTATAAATAATAGCTCATTATAAAGAGGATGAAATGCTGAACATTTAGCTGGATTGCAGATCCTAATTATAGTTTCTGAGATATATTAATCTATATCTTTCCTAAAACTCGTTACCATTTGGTTTTCAAAATTTTTTTTTGTCTTTTCATCTCTCTAACAAGGAGTCGCGTTAAGATGCAATTTTAATTTATAGCCAATAACAGAGAGGATGAAATTCTGAACAATATCCTCGGTTACAGTAAGCAGGCCTGATTTTTAGTTTCTTAGATATTTTAATCCATATGTAAAAACATTTGAATTAGTCGACGAAAAAAAAATATATCGGATGCATCACCTAACATTCAATAACTATTATCAATTCTATTTTCGGTAGCAATAAACGTTTCAAGCATATTAACAAACTAAAAAAAAAACTATGGTGTGTCCAGAAATAAGGATAAAGAAAACTAAGAAAGGCTCAGGAAGACCTTAAAATGTATCTAAGATACAGTAAAAGGAATATGTTAACCATATGTAAGAAACAAACCTTTAAGAAACTGGGGATAAGAAAAAAAAATGGTGTGAGCTTTAGACCACACGATAGAAGTGAAAATATTAACAAGGCGAGATTAAATAATATGAAATTTAAATTATAAATAATAACTCATCATAAAGAGGAAGAAATGCCTAACATTTCCCTCGATTACGCTATGCAGATTCTAATTTTAGTTTCTGAGATATTTTAATGGCTATCTTTCATAAAACTCGTTATCATTTGGTTTTCGACACATTTTGTTCCTTTTCACTTCTTTAACAAGGCGTCACTTTAAGACACAATTTTGAATTATAGGCTATAAAAGAGAGGCTGTAATGCTGAACAATTTCCTCGCTTACAGTATGCAGGCCCGATTTTTAGTTTCTGATATATTTTAATCCATATGTAAACAATTTCAATTAGTTGACTATCCGTCGACGGGTAAGCGTTAAAATCGGAAATCTGAAGTATCAATGTAATTCATTTTCCACAGAAAAATGCCAATCGCGTTTAAACAAAAATTCACTTCAAAAAGTATTATTTTTTTGTTCATTTTTATTTTATTTATTATACATATAGTGTGAATGTAATCTGTGAACTCTATTATAAATGTCCTAGAGACAGATTGTAATATTTTTCAATAAATAATTTAAAAAAAAAAAAAAATTTGTTCACTATATGTATTCGGTTCGTCAAGATGAAAATAAATTTTACAATTTTTCTTTTATTTTAGTTTGCTACTTATTTAATCTAACAAGGATGCAGCTAAGGCTTCTCAGGTACTTCAAGAACACCTAGACGACATAGCTTGTTGGGCTAAAAGGTGGAGAATAAAAATGAACGAGTCTAAGAGCCAATTTGTTTCATTTACACTTAAACATGACTCTTGTCCTCCAGTGTTCTTTAATAATATCGCTCTACCACCTTCAAAAACTGTACGATATTTGGGTCTCCACTTGGACAAACGACTGACATAGACATACCACATAAAGCAAAAAAGAAAAGAACTTAATCAACGATACGGACTTCTTTCTAGGCTACTTGACAGACGTTCTAAATTATCTGTGACTAATAAACTAACTATTTACAAAGTCCTCATTAAACCACTTTGGACATATGGGATCGAACTATGGGGAACAGCTAAAAAATCAAGTATAAAAATCATCCAGTCATTCCAGTCAAAAGTCCTTCGGAAAATTGTAGACGCACTCTTTTACGTTTCAAACCTCACGTTACACACTGACCTTAACATTCCTTTCATCACGGCAACTGCCACTGACCGCTTTAATAATTTTCATAACAGACTGATTCTAAATTCCAATCGACTTACTCAAGCTCTATCTACTGCCACAAATCCATATAATAAGCCCAGAAGACTGCTGAGGCGCTGCCCAAGAGACTTATTGCATTGAGCTACTTGCTGCATTATCTTTTTTTTTTTTTTTTTTTGTTTGTGTGCTATTATGTGTTATCTTACTACTGTTTTTTTTTTTGTTTTTTTTTGTCTTCTTGTTTTGTCATTACTATATTTGCTGAACACCGAGGTAGATGGCAAATTTATTGTAAGCTAATAATATGTACATTATAATAAATAATAAATAAATAAATACTTATTTAATAATATAAAATCCACATTATTTTTAAAAAAAAATAGAAATTCGTGTAGGATGCACTACTTAAATAAAAAAAAGTCTCCTGATATGAATACATACGTGATTCGTAACATGTTTGTAAAACATGTTTTTCGAACTTCCAAATGATGTAATTAACGATAATTATTTACAAACAATACGGTTCTTGTGTACCTATTCCACTTCCGCGTGATGTTGATCAAACATTGACAGTGGTATATAAACCCGCCGCACGGCAGTCCAGAGCACACTTTCAGCAGTCGATAGGAGCCGCCTACTGCCGCCCACCGCCGCCATGAAGTTCGCCCTCGCTCTCCTCGCCGTCGTAGGCCTCTCCCAGGCCGGCAGTCCATATCCTCCGAGCAGGTGGCAGCCGCGTCCACCCAGACCATGCGGCCCCCCCCATCATCAATTCCCCGCCCCACCGCCACCGCCACCGCCGGCTCCAACAGCGGCCGCACCGAACCAACTGCCCTCTCTCTCGCAGCTCCAGAGCTTGCTGAGCGCACTCGGAGCAGCTTCGACGACTGCTGCCCCGCTGGCAGTGACTGCTGCCACTCAGGCTCCAACTGCTGGAACACCGTCTCTTGCTGAATTACAGGCTTTATTGAACGCTTTGGGAATATCGCTTCCAGGCGCCGCTACCCAGGCTCCAGCAGTCGCTACCCAGGCTCCAGCAGTCACAACCCAGGCTCCAGTGGCAGTAGCTCCTACAACTGCCGCACCAGCTGGAACACCCACCGCCGCTCAAATACAGGCCTTGTTGAATGCATTAGGATAAATTCAGGTTTCAGATATTTGTGGATCACAAAGCAACTCAGAATAAGTTCGATCTTCCCTTATCGATCTACTTCATTTAATTATGTGCTCAAAATCTAATAAAAATGTTACTCAATTATTTTTATGTGTTAGCTTCTTTACCTCTGTTCTTGTTTCTTTTCTTTTTTGTACATCATAAAATAAATTTCAAGGCAACCAGACAGGATTCGAACCGGTGCACAGTGGTGCAAAAAACCTCATTTTCGAGAAAAAAAACCCTCACCCTTAGACATACGAACTCAAATAGCGATAATTTTATATGAATTTTCTTACTCCGAATCGAATGAAACAAAAATTAAATCGATAGCTTTACGATTTTTTTTTTTGAGAATATTATGTTTTAAATTTTGATAAATTCTAAATAAAAATTAATTTTATGATTCAAATCAACATTATTGGGCAAACATTTCGAAGATGAGAGAGATTAAAATAAAAACCCACTTAATAATTTTTTTTAAATTTATTTATTTAGAAATATAACAATCTGTAAAGTGGACAATAATTATTGTGAAACTTTTTAAAAGTTATGTGATTATTTATGAAATATTACATTAACGATAGACTGTTGCGCTACTAAAACAATTATAAATTAAATCAAATAATTTAATATATATATAGCATTTCCAAGTCAATTTCAACCTTTTCCATTTCAAATTCAACCTTTTCAAAGTCAAATTCAACCTTTTCCAAGTCAAATTCAACCTTTTCCATTTCAAATTCAACTTTCGAATTTTTGTCAATTTTCGATTTTTTTTCGAAATGAATGCCACTTACTATATTATCGAAGGCATAGCTTTTGAAAAATACAAAAAAAATATTGATAACGCGGTTGCATATCCATTTATTTTAACATTTTAGATTTTTTCAGTGTGATATTTCTATATCATATTCAATTATTTCCAAGTCAAATTCAACCTTGTCTAAGTCAAATTCAACCATTTCCATTTCAAATTAAACCTTTTCCAATTCAAATTCAACCGTTTTCATTTCAAATTAATGTTTTAATTTTTTGTAAATTTTATATATTTTTTAAAAATAATGGCCATCCCCTCCCCCCCTCCAATATGAAAGTCTATTATTATGCTCTCCTAAGTAGAATTTTCACTTACAGATATCGATTTATTGTACCTATTCGGATTTATTAGGGACTAGTATTATGCTGTCCTAGTTTTGAAAATAACCTCCATTTTAAGATTACGTGACTGCGTTTCGAATCATTTAAGTTTTTTTGACTTATTCGATATAAGGGTGTATTTTTATGTTTCCCGATCAGTAAATTTTGAAAATGACATCCATTTTATGTTTACGCCACTGTTTTTTGACTTATTTAAGTTTTTAGAATTTATCCAATTTAAAGGTCTACTTTTATGATGCCGGAGCCTTAGTTTTTAAAACGACTTACATTTTAAGATTAGGCCACTGTATTTCGGTTTTTTTAAGTGTTTTTGATTTTTCCTTTGAATAAAAAACAAAATACGAAGGATTAATTTATTTTTCAATAAATAAATAAAAATATCTAATCAAAATAAATAAAATATGCATTATCTCATTTTTAATTTAATTTTAGTTATCTTTTTTAATGTTGTGGTCTCCTGTCACAAAATTATAAGATTTCAAACAATTAGCTGAAAAATCTGAATACGGAAGGTTAAATTTATTACCATTTGCTTTTCGGCTTTTTAATTTGTATTCTGTGGCTAATTTAACTTTAGCTTCATAATATTTATTTGTTTATTCATACTCGAAAACATATTGATGAAACTTTGTATTGAAAAAATCCAAAATGAAGCCTAATTAATCGAGATGCAGCGGCTTAATCATAAAATGGAACTTAAATATTAGATAAATTTAAATATTAAAGATTAGAAAAATTTCAATACGTCTCGGATAACATATAAGTAGATCCTTATACCGAAAAAGTAAAAAAAAAAAACTTAAATAATCTAAAACACAGTGGCATAAACTTGAAATTGGGTCATTTACAAAATGGGGGAAATCTACTGCTCCAGAAACATAAAATTAGACCTTTGTACTTGTTAAATTCTAAAAACTTAAATAAGTTGAAATTCAGTGGCGTAATCATAAAATAGAGGTCATTTTCAGAATCTTCGGTTCCGATAATATAAAAGTAGACCTTTAAATCGGATAAATTCGAAAAACTTAAATAAGTCAAAATGCAATGGCGTAATCATGAAATTGAGGTCATTTTCAAAATCTACGGCACAAGAAACATAAAAGTAGACCTTAATATTGGATAAATTCGAAAAACTTAAATAAGTCAAAACGCAGCGGCGTAATCATAAAATGGAGGTCATTTTCAAAATCTACAGCTCCGGAAACATAAAAATACACCCTTACATCGAATAAATCAAAAAAACTCAAATAAGTCGAAACGCAGTGGCGTAATCTTAAAATGGAAGTCATTTTCAAAACCTACAGCTCCGGAAACATAATAATACACCCTCATATGAAAAATATCCGAAAAACTCAAATAAGTCGAAACGCGGTGGCCTAATCTTAAAATGGAGGTCGTTTTCAAAATCTACGGCTCCGGAAACATAAAAGTAGACCTTTATATTGGATAAATTCTAAAAACTTAAATAAATCAAAACACAGTGGCATAAACATAAAATGGATGTCATTTTCAAAATTTACTGATCGGGAAACATAAAAATACACCCTTATACCGAATAAGTCAAAACAACTTAAATAATTCTAAACGCAGTCACGTAATCTTAAAAAGGAGGTTATTTTCAAAAACTACTCATACGATAACAGACCCACACATCGAAAAATTAAAGATAATTAAATAAATAAAAAAAGGTTTAATTTGAAATGGAAAAGGTTTAATTTGAAATGGAAAAGGTTTAATTTGAAATGGAAAAAGTTTAATTTGATTTGGAAAAGGTTGAATTTGACTTGGAAAAGGTTGAAATCGACTGGGAAATGCTATATATATGCAATTTCATAAAATTAATTTTCAATTCACGTTTAGATCACAAACTCTTTCTGTGATATTGTACACTTAATCAGTTCGTAAACTTGATATAACGAAATCGGAATCGATTAAAAAATGTTTAAATATGTCTCTGCTGTTATCAATCATTGACAAGATAGTTTGATAGGAACAAGAAAAGTTATCTGACGTATACTGACATACATATTTTTTTCTTTGACCATCAAAAGTAAAATATTGTATTTATTCAAATGTAAGCAATGTTTTAAAACTTGATTCTGTTTTCATTTTTATTTATTTAAATCAAATATTCTATAAACAAAATATTTTTTGACGTTATTGCTCTGACTTATCAATTATTAATTATATCAGGTATTTTATGTTTTGTTTTTTTTGTTTTGTTTTTTTTGTCTATTAAATATGTATTTGCGCCTGTCAACAATAAGTTGACAATCAGCAAATGTGATGGCGATAATGATATAATGACATGACAGGCATGGGGAAGGAAAGTACTCAGCAGTACCTCTTCCCTAACTTGTTCCAATTACTTAGGTTGTCTAAGGAAGGAGATCCCTCATCCAACGCCTTTTTAGTCTCCTGCTCATCTGAGGTATGTCAGCTGTGGCCATGTCTCTTATAAGTCTGTTATTATGTCCGTTTAAATTTGTGTAAAATCGTTGATATAGGGTCGTTATATGTTGGTCAACTGTTGGAAAGTGGAGGTCAGTATGTAGAGTTTTGTTAGTCACGTACCAAGGTGCTTTTGTTATGAGTCGCAATAATTTTGATTGGAACGTTTGAAGTTTTTGTAGGTGGGTCTTTTTAGCGATGCCGTATATTTGTGATGAGTATGTCCATATGGGCTTAAGTAAGTATGTATATGTATTCAGTATTTTATGTTAAATAATAGGTGTTTCGAGTGATTTGGGAAATGTACCACAATTACTTTCAATTGTTTGAAACGAAGCGTCGTATATTTTTGTAGAACTAAGTATATTTTTTAAAACCGATGTTTAAGCTGCCTTAGGATTCACCAGAAGTACCCGAATCTGTCCAGCTCATCCCGTTAGGTGTGAGCAAAAATTACCTGCTATAAATATAAAAAAAGATGGTTTTCATTCCTTCTCCTATAATCTCACATCAGATGCGATAATTATGTTAAAAACCGCTAGGCATGAAGAGAAAACGATATTAGTTTTTCACTAATACAGTCAAACTTCCAAAACTTAACTTTTGCTTTTCATACCTTCATCACAAATAAATTTGCTATAAAATATATATCCCACTTAACCGGCTCTTCGGATTAACCGGTGGTAAAAGATATAAACGGAGAATAAATAATTTTTTCCTCTCAGAATCGGCTAGTTTCAGCTGTGTAAATTAATGAAACAAATTAGATAATTGTTTTATTATAACCTCTTGGGAACTTATCATCTAATTTAATTTATGAGGAGGAATTAGTCGAGGGTGCGGTCAAAAAAATAACAAAATTAAAATATATAAATAATTTTAATTTTTGCCATTTTATATATTTTAATTTTGTTATTTTTTTGACCGCACCCTCGACTAATTCCTTCTCATATCATATCAACGGTCAACCAACTCTACATCATTATAATTTAATTTATCATCTTGACTTGGGAACTTTCAACAGATTTTACTGAAATTAATTTTCCAACATTTATAAATGAATTGGCCATCATTTTCCGAAAAGGCTCACAATACAAATAGATCTTTTGTGAGAAAAATAAAATAAATTTGAGAATTAGCTAAAAAAAAAATGTATTTCAAACGTAGAAATAGTTTTAAAAATATAGGTATACAAGATGTAAAGAGAGTATAAGCATCGTTAAGAAGGTATTTAAATAAAAACACTTATTAAAACAGATTAAGTAAGGAATATTTTTGGTTCGCCAAGCTGAAAATAAATTTTGAATTTATTCATTTAAAGAAAGGTTGAAATAATCCAAGAAAATAGAAGAAAGGTTAAACGTGATGGAACAGCATCATTAAAAATCTATTTAAATGTAAGTGCCTAGCTTTGTCAACTATATATAATTTAGATATACTGAAATCAGAGAAATAGAACCCGTAAATCCAATGAAAACAATTGAACAGTGAATATTAAGAATAAAAAAAATATTAAAATATAACTTGAAGGAGGGTTAAAAGCTGATGTTTTTGTAGATATTTCTAAGATGAATGACAAGATATTTAATGAAACTTTGTCACTAGTATTTCCCGCCATTGCCGTCGATTAGAATACAGATAAAGAGCAATTTTATAGTTTTATCAATACTTTAAGAAATAAATAGCTGACCTGGTTGGGGAATGATAGGGGTAAGTGGTAAAGCAAAACCAGGAATATTACAATATCTAAAATTTGGAGATATTGCTGGATACAAGAAAAATACAATATCTATGAACTAATATATATATATATATATATATATATATATATATATATATATATATATATAAGATAGAATTTTATTATTAATAGAAGATTATAACTTCAAAACAAATTTTTATTTTTATAAAGTTTCGGAACTTTTAGTTTCGATAGTATATAAGTTTATTTAGAACTACAACTTTTTCTCTTGCGACTTTTCCAGTGAAGGTTTTACAGCGAAATCGACAGAACTTCGAAATCGGAAGTTGTGTCGATTTCGCTAAAAAGTCGATCTAAAAAATATTTTTAATCTCAGCTACTCAAACGAATATAAGAATCATGTAATTAAGTTCAGACAAATTATAACTGTAATCTAATCCCAATTACTGTCTATTTCTCATTCAACGAAACATTTTTTTTTATAGTTAAATAAATAAAAGTTACACTATTACCGTAAATTTAAAACATTAATAAAAAAAAGTTCCATAGAACTTTTATTGTAAAAACTTTTTTTCCAAAAAGTTTCACAGGAACTGTTAAAAAGGGAACTTATTAAAAGGATTCTACCATTGGGTGAGTAAGATAATAGCAAACAGAAAAATAGCGACAAGATGCTGTGCACAGTGTTGCGTCTTTGTACCCATAGTAACCTCGAATATAGAGGTGCTAGTTCGAATCCTGTCTAGGCGGGTAAAATTAATTTTGTGGAAATTTCTGGGAAATTCCGGGGGAAAAAAAATATAAAACAGAGATGTTTTTAGTAAAATTTTTATTATATGTTCAGTACATAATCAAATGAAGTTGATAACTTTGTAGAGTCTGGGTGCCCAGAAGGGTCTTCCTACCCCAGGGCCGCCCGATGACACCAATGAAACCGAATAAATATTTTTTCTGCCATGAGCGGGGGAAAACATCCCTAAATGTTTTCATGGAAACTGGAAACTAAAATAAATGAAAAAATGTAAAATTTATTTTCATCCAAACAAACAAACAATTTATATCAGAATTATCATACTTATTATTAACTCTTTATATTAAAGTTTCTTCAATTTTATCAACTTTTGAATAGAAACATCTAATATCAAATGGATAATCGTTTCGTAAAACTGAAAACCCCTCCTTCTTCTTCATCAATGAAGAAAGACAGATTTCTGTAAGATTAGCTAGATCTGATGAGATCTTTTATTTTTACTTCCAGTTAGCTATACAAAGTGTCCTGTAAGGAGAGGGAAATTTTTAAGAGGGTGATAACAAACATCAGGAGCTACAAAAAAGTTTATGTAAACAATGGGCCAATTTTCAACAGAAAAGTAGCAAATCCAAGTTTTGTGTTTTTTTTTAAGTGAGCCGCGTTTTTTTATTGAATCGAAAGCAATAACTAAAGAAATATTTAATATAAGTAATTAATAATTGCTTCATTGTAAATAAGATTAAATTTAATTTAAGGAAACATAGAGTTCATCATTGTTAAAGCCATTTACAGAGGAGCCATTTACCGGCTCCAAGTTACGGATGGTTCGGGTTTGACGAAGGGAAAAGATAGCGGAAACGCACGGGTGAGAGAGTACACAGGGATGTTGAAGAGATAGTGAAAATTTCGAAGAAACAGTATGATTCTCCAATAGCTTGTACTCTCTCATTACTGATCTGTTATTGAGAGAGCGATGGGCAACGGGCTTCGGCCCTATAGACCTCTACGATGCGACAATCAGAATAAATAGCGAGATGGTTGGATAAGAGATCTGTTACCAAGTTAAAAATCAAAGGATGGTGCGCTAAGGATATCAAGGCCATTCTTCTGAAGGCCTTCGAGGACACAACTCCTACTTTCAGCTTCAAAGTAGGATGAGAGAGGATACGCCTGGGTATGTTAGTTTTAAGGTTTTCGTAACATAAAACATAACGCGTGGCCTCCGGGAAAGGGTGAACTTGTCGATGAATGGTCCCGCAAGAATAGTCAGCGTTCTGGGGTCCCAGGTATCCTCGAAAATCAACAGTGCAAGAGCCAAGGAATGCAGGATCAGCACGGAGTTGGCACTTACACCACCAGTTTGAAACGAAGATGGCCACCATTCAAAGACTAGCTCAACTGAGTACAACTAAGGCCTTCCGGACTATAGGCAGTACAGATCCCTTTGGATCTCGTCTTCTAAAGGATATTTGGAGGTAAATCTAGAAAGTCAGGAGCTAGAATCACTCCTGCAAGGGCTGCAGCGGAAGATCTGTTACGAGATTGGTAATTTGGAATCCAGAGTAATCCAATGATATCCTGCGACAGAAGTCGCTTGATGAGGTGAGCAATCTTAATCTTAAAAGGAATAAAATTTGTATTCCATTAAACCACTTAAAGATACCTATTTCAGCTTTCTATGACAAACTTTTTCTGAGCCTATCAAGATTTTTGTATGTCTATAGCGATATTTATTTATTAAAGAAGAAGGACTAAGAAGAAGTTTAAAATGAAAAAGATGTAATATACAACAGAAAAAACACAATCCTATAATAATAATGTGTATATTAATCAAGGAATGTCATACACCAGAATTAGCGTATTATTTGTAAAACAAATTTAAAGTGATATTTCTAGGTTGAATCTAATTTTGTATTCACACAGTGAAAAAATAAGTGCTTCAACACTTACTTCTTGATTTCATTTTGTAGAACCTTATTTCTTAAATATTAACTAAAAAATTATAAAGTCTAAACATCTGCATTTCACGAATCTTATTTAATCGTTTTTCTTTTACAACATAAGTTATATAATTCCGCCAATATGACTGTTTCGCAGGAGTTGAAAGTTCTTATGGATTTGCAGCTGGAGCAGCAGCTGGAGCAGCAGCTGGCACAGCTGGAGCCTCTGGCGCTGCTGCCACTGGATTAGCTGCTGCTGCGGCTGCCACTGCGTCCAATAAACTTTGTATTTCAGCAATAGAAGGTGCAGCAGCTGGTGCAGCAGCAGGTGCAGCCTCTGGTGCAGCAGCAGGTGCAGCAGCTTGTGCAGCAGCAGGTGCAGCAGCAGGTGCAGCCTCTGGTGCAGCAGCAGGTGCAGCAGCAGGTGCAGCAGCAGGTGCAGCCTCTGGTGCAGCAGCAGGTGCAGCCTCTGGTGCAGCCTCTGGTGCAGCAGCAGGTGCAGCAGCAGGTGCAGCAGCTGGTGCAGCAGCAGGTGCAGCCTCTGGTGCAGCAGCAGGTGCAGCAGCTTGTGCAGCAGCAGGTGCAGCAGCAGGTGCAGCCTCTGGTGCAGCAGCAGGTGCAGCAGCAGGTGCAGCAGCTGGTGCAGCAGCAGGTGCAGCAGCTGGTGCAGCAGCAGGTGCAGCAGCTGGTGCAGCAGCAGGTGCAGCATCTGGTGCAGCCGTTGGCGCAGCAGTTGCTGAAGCCGTCAATGCATTTATCAAATTCTGCAGATCAGCAATAGAAGGTACTGCAGGAGCAGGTGCAGCAGTTGGAGCCTGCGTGGTTGTTGAGACTGTAACTGGAGTCTGTGTTGTTGTTGTTGTTGCGCCTGTCAATGCATTTAACAAATTTTGCAGATCGGCAATGGAAGGTATTGCTTGTGTAGGCGCAGGAGCAGCAGTTGTGACCGGAGCCTGCGTGGTTGTCGGCACTGCAGCCCGTGGTGTTGTCGTTGTTAATGACTCTCTCAAAGCATTCAACAAGCTCTGCAATAGAGCATTAGAAGGTGCTGCTTGTGTCGTTGTAGGAGCTGCTTGTGTCGTTGAAGGAGCTGCAGTCGTCGTACTTGGAGGCTGTATTGTAGTTGCTAGGTTTGATATGGATGATATCATTGAGTTCAACATGTTCTGCAATTCCGCAAGAGTAGGCAATTGTTTAGGAGGAGCAGCGGTTGAGGGTGCTTGCACAGGTACAGGTACATGTATCACTGATGGCATGGGATGGAAACATGGTTTAGGATGATGGAACGGTGGTGGTGGTGGAGGTGGCATATGCCATCTGGGAGGGAACATGAACTGTGGAGCGGCACTGGAGGCGGCGACGAAGCCTATCAAGGCGAGGAGTGCGGTGGCGAACGTCATCGTTGCTGTCAACGACGGCTGGCGGTCTGGATCTGTCGGCGCCGTAGCGGATTTATATAGCTGTGGCAGTGTGTGATCAAGGGGGGAGGAAGTGGTAATGATTGAACAGGTGTTTCACTGCCATATTGATTAACAATATTAATTAATTTCTAAGCTAATTTCTGAGTTGAATACGATGGCTAAATAACGTTCTATGTAAAAACCAAAAACTATCATCCACTACCAACTCAACAACTTAATCTAATTATCACCTATCATTATCAACTAAATCATTAATTAAATTATTTTTATTATCAACGCTTTAATATGGCGAAGACTGGTGCAATGGAAAGTCTATTAAGTGTTTTTGCAGATCTCCACAAGACTTCGGGAGCAGTAAATTCGTTTTTACTTTAAGTTCACTGAATTAAAAAAAAAACTGCAAATTATTTCACAATGGTTTATTATTTTCAAACATCTAAAGTAAAAAAAAAAAAGAAATAAAAGATGATTCCTATTATTGGCCTAAACAACTTACTTTTTATCATTGTTCAACTTATATTTGCTCCAAATTGTCCGAGTTTAACGATTTTTTTTTTTTAAAGATATTTCGATGGTTTTTAAATAACCATGTACGACACAATATCGACAAAAAGTGAATACTTTTTGAGTTATTCGGACTCTAATTTTACTACCCTTCGTAAGCTTTTTCCAGCTTCTTTTCGTTGAAGAATGTTATATAGATAAATTTAAAGGGCATCGAGAAGAAGAAATTTAGCCACGTTTCATTGAAATCGGTACATTCGTTTACAGTATATAGCAACACAGGTTTTTCGGCCGCCATTTTATAAGGAAAAGGCGGATAGTAATGCCGATGTAGGAGGATCATCCTTTATACTTATCATTTATACTCATCATACTTTATTTATTTGATTTTTTTCTAAAATTCTCCGCTTTCCAACGATATATTATACGTATACCTTCTGACTTGTATTTCCGAAGATTCATTTTCGACCTGTATCAGCATTTTTATTTTTTCTCCAGTTCCTAATTATCATATTCTCTCAAAGTTTATACTTAGCCATTTTCTATATCAATGGGGAATTTTCTACATCAATGGAGATCAGATCAAAATGATATTAAAGACCACTTAATTTTACAATGATACACCGACTTTAATAAAAATCGTTAGTGCCCTTTTTGAGAAATTGTAAAAATGTGTATCACCGTTGATATAAAGTGGCATATCTTGCCAAGTGAACCATATACAAATCTTAAATACGTAATATAAGTTTTTATATTACGACTGTGTATTTTGCGGAACTTGGTTATTTGGACTCAGGGGGCCTCAAAACGTGTATTTCCGTTGAAAACTCACATTCGAAAATTTTCACGATCGGTATACTTTCCCTTATTATATATTACATATATAGGTAAGTGAACGTAAACACTAGTGTTCCCTAAATGGTCGAAATTTGAAAATAATTATTATTGAATATTAGAGAAAAACATAAATTAAACTGCATGTTAAAAAAAACTCGTTACTACTCTTTAATAATCGTACATTCACTTTTATATTTATTTACAAAAGAAAATAGTACAGTACTATTTGTGTATTTTTTGAGTTACTGACAAATTAATCAATCGTAACTTTTTTTTAAATATTTAATTAAGTCCACTTTGTTCAATCGGTCAAAATAAAAAAAATATGTTTGATATGAAAATTCGTATTTGAGGTTTTTCCAGATGCGAAATACAAATCTCGATTTGTTTTTTCCTTAAAAAACTATTTGAGCCAACTTAGCTCCTTCAGTTCGTTTCAACATTGTACTTATACTAAATCTAATAACTAAAATCTGTGTTCCAAACATGATTTTGTCATAATAGAAGTCTAAAAAATATAAACCGAAAAAATCCTATCAAAATTTACAATATTGATTCGTTTCAGTTTCGATGAATTTTTTTTATTTTGAGGGAATTCAGAAAGCTTTCAAATCAAATACTCATAGATTTAATGAATCGGAAATTGTGTACTTTTGAGTTTCCCTTTGAGTTTCCCGAATAAAATTCTGAATCAATCGATACTTTTTTTATTAGCCCCATTTTGAAAAAACAGACCAGATAATAATGGAATGTATACAATAACACTTCTAAATTTGATTGCAATATCGAAATATCAAAGAAATCAGTGAAGAAATTTCGGATATTAGACGTTTTGGACAAACTAACATTTATACTTTTATTTTCAGTTTCCAATTTTTTTTTATTGATTTCACTGAAGATCGTCAATAGCAACTAAACAAAAAAAGAAAACCAGTTGAAACCTGACCCGAAACCTAAAAATTAGAATTTACAAGACCATTATCCTTCCTACGGTTCTGTGTGGATGCGAAACTTGGTCGCTTACATTAAGGGATGAACAACGTCTTAAGGTTTTCAAAAATAAAGTATTACGCTGAATATTCGGTCCGAAGAAGGATGAATCAACCGAAGAATTTAGGCGGTTACACAACGCTCAATTGCGTGAACTGTACCCGGTTAATATAATTGAAATGATTAAGTTGAGGTGAATAAAATGGGCATGCGAATTCGCAGGGATTAGTAACGAAAGAATTTCTAAAAAGGTAATATGCGCTGTGCAGACTGGTAAGCTTCCGAGGAGTAAACTGAAGCGAATGTGGAAAGTTTGCGTCAATGCTGATCTTGAAGATTTGGGTTTAGAAGGCAACCGGTCGATGGAAGAATGCAGACATCGATTGGTGGTATCGGCATCGAACCTTCGGGTTCGCTAAGCCTAATCATTACTATCATTATGTATGTTTTTAAAAATAAACAAACTAAATTATAAATAATCATTTACCAATAAGCATAATAATAATCCACTTGTTCGATTCCTAGCTCTTTCACAATACTTAATAACACTCAAGTAGATTGGTATATAAACAGCGGTGGTTCTTAAATTTTTAACTGCCGGTAGTAAACCGCCGAACTGCTCATCATGAGAGATTTCGTTTCCGCCTCCAAGGCCTTCGAGGACACAACTCCTACTCTCAGCTTCAAAGTAGGATGAGAGAGGATACGCCTAGGTAGGTAAGTTTTAAGGCGAAGTTTCGTAACACAAAACATAACGCGTGGCCTCCGGGAAAGGGCGAACTTGTCGATGAATGGTCCCGCAAGAATAGTCAGCGTTCTGGGGTCCCAGGTATCCACGAAAATCAACAGTGCAAGAGCCAAGGAATGCAGGATCAGCACGGAGTTGGCACTTACACCACCAGTTTGAAACGAAGATGGCCACCATTTAAAGACTAGCTCAACTGAGTACAACTAAGGCCTTCCGGACTATAGGCAGTACAGATCCCTTTGGATCTCGTCTTCTAAAGGATATTTGGAGGTAAATCTAGAAAGTCGGGAGCTAGAAGCACTCCTGCAAGGGCTGCTGCGGAAGATCTGTAACATTGGCAGCCCTGACATTGGCAGTGATCACAGACCAGTTGGGGCAATGTTGAATAAAAAGTTCACCATTGTAAAACATAAAAAAGAAAATAGGAGATCCAGTAAAGTGAAATCAGAAAACCTAATAAAATGGAATTTTGAAGATAAGTTAAAATCAGTTTTGCCTAAGTTAGACCAAGAAATGACAACTTCAACCCAAATTACAGAAATAACAAACTCATTAAAGAAGGTACTTGAACAGTTTAAGGAAGAGAATTCCAAGATAGACGGTAACTGTCCAAATCTCCCAAGAAAGATTAAAAATCTTCTAAACAAAAGAAGAAATTTAAAAAAAAAGGAGCAAGATATAAGACAACTTGCTGATGATCAAGTCCTAATAGGTAAAAATATAGAAGAAATCCTAACGATGGCAAACCAATTAATAAAGGCTGGAGAAAACGTAGGACTGAAAATAAATTATAAAAAATGCAATTATATGTCAGTGAACGTTGAGGGGGAGATATAAAAATAGGCGAACACCATATAGAGAAAGTAGATACATTTCTTTATCTTGGGCACCTTACCTCAATTAAAGGACAAAATGAAGAAATAATCAGGCGATGTACCCAGGGATGGCGCGCACTTTTCAAATTTAACGATATACGTAGATCCTCGGTGAGCTCAGAGGTCAAGAGAAAACTTTGGGTGAGCACAGTACTTCCTGTCATGGCATATGGTTGTGAAACATGGGCAATTGACCAGAAGACTTGCCACAAATTGAGGATAACCGTCAGAGGAATGGAGCGATATCTTCTGGGGATAACTCGAAGGGATAGAAAAACAAACAGATGGATCAGAGCTAAGATTGACCTTCCAGATATTGTGGAAAAAGTGCTCATCAGGAAGTGGACCTGGACCGGACATGTAATCAGGAAGAATGAATTAACATGGACCAGGCAGTTTATGGATTGGTATCCAAGAGATCACAGGAGGAAGAGAGGACGCCCGCCGACAGACTGGGACAAGGAGATGAAGAAGACCTGCGGGGGAGCAGCCTGGAAGAGAGTAGCATTAGAGAGGAAAGAATGGAAAAGGATGGGACAGGTTCATTACCTAGTGTGGTTACAAGAAAGTTAAGTAAAAAAAAAAAAATCGAACTCAAAACCTCAAGTAAGTGGATTTTGTACATATAAGAGATTTTGTATATTTTTATCCATTGTTTTTTCATTGTATTCACAAATAAAGGTTATTTTTATTTCCATTCTTTATTCTCGCTTTGCGGGGTAAGTTTCTGAGGTGGGAGACCAGAAGTCCAGCCACTTCAGATTAATATCTATTACTTTTTAGATATTTAAAAACTTTAGAACAATACGTGCCGTATCCAAGAGAACTGAGTGTTGAGCCTCTTTCAGCACTTCAAGAGGTAATTTTAATCCCATCGTGCCTGCCACTGTTGTCTTTGGCATCAATCCATTGGAGGATATTATAATTGGAGTGGTGGTGACGTTCCCCAAATGATACAATTCCTTCAGTTCGATTGCCAATTCCTGATATTTTCTCAGTTTTTCTCCAACAGTGGAGCTTATATTATTATCATTGGGGATCCCGACATCAATAAGCTCTGCTCTTTTCTCTCTCATATCTATCAGAAGGATGTCTGGTTTATTGTGACGCGCAGTATGGTCAGTTATTATCGATTCATCCCAGCAGAGCTTGAGACTACCTTTTTGGAGGAGTTTATTTGGGTGGTACTTATAATATGGAGTTTTGTCATCTAACAAGTTGAGCTTCACCGCCAGAGCCTGTTGAAAAATTCTAGCCTCATTGTTATGCCTCTGGAGATACTCGGTGCCAGCCAACACTCCACACCCACCTGTGACATGTTGGGTTGATTCCAGCGTCGCTGAGCATAATCGACATTTATCTGTAGTTGTTGCGTCTTTAAGAACATGCCTTCTATATGATCTAGTAGCAATAACTTGGTCTTGGATGGCGAGCAGAAATCCTTCTGTCTCGGAGAATATCTTTCCAGCTTTCAGCCATTCAATGGATATTTCCTTGTCAATCGAGCTATCATTTAATTTGCTGTAGAATCTTCCGTGCAGAGATTTATTTTTCCATTCTGTCAAGCGTTCATTTTCTGACACGATTTTAGAGACCTCACGATTGCTCAGGTTAAGTGCGGTTAGACCATAATCCAATCTTGAGATTGCGAGGTAAACCTCAGTTGTTTTGGTAAGAAAGTATCGGCGTAGGGCCGCTTCCTGCTTGCGGCAAGCTTCTTCGATATTTAGCAAACCACGTCCTCCTTCTTTCCTAGGCAAATACAGACGAGCTTTGGATGATATTGGATGGTGGGCCCGTTCTTGTGTGAGAGTTGTTCGCACAAGGCGGTCGATCAAATCTCTTATTATTATTATTATTATTTTATTTGTCAACACTTTTACAAAAGGTTTTTTTTTTTGTTTACTTGAGAGGGGGAGAATCAACTCCAACCACCTCAGGTATGTTCAATTTTAATTACTATTGAATGTTGAGAAAGCTCCTTACAATTCTGGCAGTATTCAGCAGCACCGCTTTCTGAGCTTCCTTTATTACATGAGTTGGGAGGCCCAGCCTGTCAGTAGCTTCCACAGTAGACACCGGTACCAGGCCATTGCTGGAGATCACAATGCCCCTAACGGTTACTTTATTAAGTTTATACAAACTTTTTAACTCAGCTGCTAGACCTTGATATTTCCGAATTTTTTCTGCGCAGACTGAGTTAATGTTTCCGTCATTTGGCACAGCGATATCTATAATTTCAGCCACCTTAATATTACCGTCAATTAATACAATATCAGGTCTGTTGTGGATCACGAGATGGTCTGTTATGAACGATTGGTTCCAATATAATTTTAAGTCATCTTTCTGGCAAATACCTTTAGGGCAATATTTATAGTAGGGCTTCGAGTCGTTTAATAATTTAATTTTTAGACCAATTGCCTGGTGATAGACTTTGGCAACATCGTCATGTCTTTTTAGGTATTCTGTACCTGCAAGAGCTCCGCAGCCTCCAGTTATGTGTTGAATGGACTCATATGTGCTTGCACAGAGCCTACATTTGTCCGATACATTCTGTTGCTTCAAGACGTGTCGCCAGTAGGATCTGGTAGCTATAACCTGGTCCTGGATTGCAGTTAAAATTATTATTATCATTATTATTATTATTATTATTATTACAGTCAAACTTCCAAAACTTAACTTTTGCTTTTCATACCTTCATCCCAAATAAATTTGCTATAAAATATATATCCCACTTAACCGGCTCTTCGGATTAACCGGTGGTAAAAGATATAAACGGAGAATAAATCATTTTTTTCTCTCAGAATCGGCTAGTTTCAGCTAACTAAATTATTGAAACAAATTAGATAACTGTTTTATTATAACCGATCTTGACTTGGGAACTTTCAACAGATTTTACTGAAATTAATTTTCCAACATTTATAAATGAATCGGCCATCATTTTCCGAAAAGGCTCACAATACAAATAGATCTCTTGTGAGAAAAATAAAATACAACCAATTTGAGAATTAGCTGAAAAAAAAATGTATTTCAAACGTAGAAATAGTTTAAAAAATATAGGTATACAAGATGTAGAGAGAGTATAAGCATCGTTAAGAATGTATTTAAATAAAAATACTTATTCAAACAGATTAAGTAAAGAATATTTTTGGTTCGTCAAGCTGAAAATAAATTTTGAATTTATTCATTTAAAGAAAGGTTGAAATAATTCAAGAAAATAGAAGAAAGGTGACACATGATGGAAAGGGTATACAGCATCATTAAAAATCTATTTAAATGTAAGTGTCTAGCCGTGTCAACTATATATAATTTAGATATACTGAAATCAGAGAAATATAACCCGTAAATCTAATGAAAACAATTGAACAGCGAATATTAAGAATAAAAAAAATATTAAAATATAACTTGAAGGAGGGTTAAAACCTGATGTTTTTGTAGATGTTTCTATGATGAATGACAAGATATTTAATGAAACTTTGTCACTAGTACTTCCCGCCATTGCCGTCGATTAGAATACAGATAAAGAGCAATTTTATAGTTTTATCAATACTTTAAGAAATAAATAGCTGACCTGGTTGGGGGATGATAGGGGTAAGTGGTAAAGAAAAACCAGGAATATTACAATATCTAAAATTTGGAGATATTGCTGGATACAAGAAAAATACAATATCTATGAACTAATTAATTATATATATATATATATATATATAATTAAGATAGAATTTTATTATTAATAGAAGATTATAACTTCAAAACAAATTTTTATTTTTATAAAGTTTCGGAACTTTTATTTTCGATAGTATTTCAGTTCATTTAGAACTAGGACTTTTCCAGGGAAGGTTTTACAGCGAAATCGACAGAACTTCGAAATCGGAAGTTAAGTCGATTTCGCTAAAAAGTCGATCTAAAAATATTTTTAATTACAGCTACTCAAACAAACGACATATAAGAATCATGTAATTAATATCAGACACTGTAATCTAATCCCAATTACTGTCTATTCCTCATTCAACGAAACATTTTTTTTGATAGTTAAATAAATAAAAGTTACACTTTTACCGCAAATTTAGAACTTTAATAAAAAAAAGTTCCATAGAACTTATATTGTCCAAAGAACTGTTAAAAAGGGAACTTATTAAAAGGATTCTACCATTGGGTGAGTAAGATAATAGCAAACAGAAAAATAGCGGCAAGATGCTGTGCAGAATGTTGCGTCTTTGTACCCATAGTAACCTCGAATATAGAGGTGCTAGTTCGAATCCTGTCTAGGCGGGGTAAAATTAATTTTGTGGAAACTTCTTGGAAATTCCGGGGAGGAAAAAAATAGAAAACAGAGGTGTTTTAGTAACATTTTTATTATATGTTCAGTGCATAATCAAATGAAGTTGATCGCGTGGGCCATTGCTGGAACCTGAATTTATCCCAATGCATTCAAAAAGGCCTGTATTTGAGCATCGGTGGGTGTTCCAGCTGATGCAGCAGTTGTAGGTGCTACAGTCACTGGAGCTTGTGTTGTGACTGCTGGAGCCTGGGTAGTGACTGCTGGAAGTGATATTCCCAATGCGTTCAATAGAGCTTGTAATTCAGCAAGAGACGGTGTTCCAGCAGTTGGAGCCTGAGTGGTAGAAGTCACTGCCACTGGAGCAGCAGTCGTCGAAGCTGCTCCGAATGAGCTCAGCAAGCTCTGGAGCTGCGAGAGAGAGGGCAGTTGGTTAGGTGCGGCCGCTGTTGGAGCTGGGGCGGGGAATTGATGACGATGAGGGCATGGATCTGGAGCTGGCGATGGCGCTGGGGCGGGGAATTGCTGATGGTGAGGGCATGGAGCTGGAGCTGGAGGCAGTACTGGTAAAGGTAAATGAAATAGAGGAGCCCCCCACGGATGCGGCTGCCCCCTGCTCGATGGATATGGGCAGCCGGCTTCGGATAAGCCTACGACGGCGAGGAGAGCGAGGGCGAACTTCATGGTGGCGGTGGGCGGCAGTAGGCGGCTCCTATCGACTGCTGAAGTGTGCTCTGGACTGCAGGGGTTTATATACCAGTCATAATGTTTAAACAACAACATGATTTAGAGATTTAATTGTATATACATACAATCTCTGTATTATTTGTAAATAATTATTGTTAATTAGAAGTAAATAATTATTTTTCATTTGAAAGTATGAAAAACATGTTTTAAAATTATATTTGTGAGTTGAGGTACAGGATATTTTTTAAATTTAATTTAATTTAATTTTATGAAAACGCTTACTTTCTATTTAATAATATAAAGTACACATCATTTAAGAAAAATAAATAAATAAATAAAATAAAAAATCTCGTATGGAGTGAGGGCCACATACCACTCCATACGAGTTTTTTTATTTTATTTATTTATTTTGTAAATTATGTGGAGTTTATATTATTAAACAGAAAGTAAACGTTTTCATAAAATAAAAAAAAATTAAATTAAATTTAAAAAAGGCCCTGTACCACTACAACCCATGAAGGGTCTTGGGCTCAGAACTATTTAGAGAAAGTAATGTTTCAAGGACAAAGGTTGTGCAAGGAGGAGATCGGGCCAGGATCAAGCTCAGCCGCCTGCTGCAATTCACTGCTTTCAAGACATTCGAAATTAATACTTAGATGTAATTAAATACATACACTTAATTACTTAATTCCATTTGGACCTACGCTTCACAGATATGTGGAACAGCTAAAAATACCCACATACGAAAACTAAAGACCTTTCAGTCAAAAACTTTTAGGATAATGGCCAAGGCTCCCTGGTACAACAGTAACATTACTCTACCTAAGACTTACAAATACCAACAGTTAACATCCACATACAAACACATTATAAAATATTTCACAATGACTCACACGGACATACTAACTCACAGATCCAAGGCATGGCCAGAACCAACATGCCCGATAATTGTAGGAGGCTCAAAAGAAGCTGAATGAGAGATCTGCTTTAGTAACTAGAAATGTTAAAATAAGGACGCCACTGGGCATTCCTTTTCCTAGTCCTGTCATATATATTAATACAAGGAAGTATATACAGATTTCAACAGAAAAATTAATTTTTTCAAAAACTTTACTAGAAAATAAAATGTATATCTATAGAGAGTATAACAAAAAAGAAATAACTCAAAATGTCCTGCTTTTTCCTTGACACAGGCATTTAATCTCCGTGGCCAGCCATCAATAGCAGCACGCAGCACTTCTTGAGGAAAGCTCTCAACTGCTCGGACCAGAGATTGTTTGAGGCTTTCCAAGTTAGGGTGTGCTCTGTGGCGTGCCATCCTCTCCAGTTCGAACCAATATTTTTGTATATCAGCTAGATTTTGCTATCAAATTATCTAACGATCTGAGTGGAAAGCGAATAGGTATTTACGAGTTTTTAGTACCTAATTAAATAGACAGAGTTTGCCGATATTCAGTTTGATAACGCCCCAAATTCTAAGAGTTTTCATAAATAAAATAGTAGAGTAGGTTACGAAGAAACGAAGCTATTTATGAAGTTTCAAGTTTATGTTAATAATAATTTGATGAAAAGATGTCTGAACCACGGACTATTACTCCAATTTCTGATTCTCGCACACTCGCTGGTTTTCGGTACTTCAGACAGGTGTGAGTGGAAAAATATTATTAAAAAAAAAGTTAATAAATATAGAGATGAACAAGTTCCAGGTATAAACGAAAGACCTGAATAATAATCTTCAATTAAGGATGTGATATCGAAGGCCTAATTAAGATATTATCATCAATAATAATATTCGACCAATAACTATCGATACCATTATAATATCGGCTTGAAATATCGATTTTGATCGATATCATAAACATTTTTGAAATACAAATATCAATATAAATATTTATTATCTAGCCGATAGGTGTGTGAAAAAAATATGTTATTTTCATATTTGAATGAAATGATAGAAATATCAACCTTCTACACTCCTTAGTAAAATTAATTTTCTATTTCATGTCCATCCTCAATTTTTTCCAGAAATTTCTATTCAACCAATTATATCATAGATCAAATTCAGCCAAATGCTAATTTATTTACATCCTACATAAAGTTCTTTGATCAGTCTTGATCTTCGTTCGAGAAAGTTCTACCTAGCAAATTTGAGCAAATTGGGTTTACTGGATGAAAAGTGTAATGTCGATATTTTCCTCTACTATGCACTACATTCTATATAAAACAGGCAAGATTAGTGTATCTTTTTTCATAACGATCAAATTTATATATAATTCTTAGTGTTTTCCGAAATTTTTTAAATTTCAAAGTAAGTTATGGAATGGAATATATATCGATAGTCGATAATATCGAAGTAAATTCGATGGTAAAATATCTAATATCGGATAAACAATATCATTCCCTTTGATCAAACGCTTTCCTTGGTGGAAAAAACTATGGAAAAAACTATGTATCGAACATCGCCCGCCGGACCATTTTCACCTTAAAACGCCTAAATTACTCCAGTCACCTATTCCCTCTTGAAACCCGTAGGCTCCTGGTCACTTCCTTAATTTTCCCCACTTTGACTATTGCTGTACACTATATGGGGGCGTCTCTGGGGATCTCGAGGCGAAATTAAAAAGTTTGATGTATTGCTTTGTACGATTTATCTTCGGGATACCAAGAGCCGCTGTAGAGTTGAAGTGACTTTATCCTTCCTACCGTCGTATTTCTTGGCATCCTTCCTCTTTCAAGTCATCCAATCCCACCTCCCTTCATACATGCCCGAGCACCTCCAATTCAAATCCTCTGTTCGTTCCCTGAATACTCGTTCCAGGTCTTCTGATTTATACATAAGGGCTCACCGAACCGCTGCTTTCGACAGATCTTTCATTATCCGATCCTCATCCCTGTAGAACTCCATCCCTTCTCCCATCCGTCAATCCAGTACCCTTCTTACCTTTAAATCCAGCCTGTTCAATCATCCAGTCCCCATAAAATTGTAAATAGATACCACTGTAAATATGTATATAAATTATTAGATCGTTCTTCATCATTTTTAATTTTTTATTATTAACTTATTTAAGTTAGAAAATAACTTATTTTTATTATGACTATTTAATTACTCAGCATTTTTTTTATGTATCTCTGTGGCTCCTTAACCCATATTTATGTCTGTCTGTATTATTCTAAAGGGACTCGCCCAAGAATAAATAAAGTGTTATTAATATTATTATCGATGGCCATCCCTACCTTTAAAATAGCGTAAGATTCTATAATTTTGGGTGGAAATGAGACGAAAACAAAAAAAATCTAAACAATTACCATGATCGTTGTTATAAATTAGATTAATAAATGTGTGCGTCATCCGAATTTTGTTCTTAAAAAATATTTTTCGCATTTTCTAATGATGTAATTAACAATAATTATATACAAACAATGTTGCTGTATACCTATTCAATTATTACCACGTGTTGTTGATTAAATACTAATACTGATATATAAACGCGCCGCACTGCCGTTCAAAGCATAACCTCAGCCGTCTACTGACTCTCAACCGCTGCCACGATGTTCGCTCCAGCAATCCTCGCCTTGATCGGCTTGGCAGCCATGTCCGAAGCCGCCCCGTTCCCACCTTGCTGGCATCCGTTACCACCAAGACCCTGCGACCACTATCAACACTTCCCTGTACCAGTACCAGCACCTGCTCAACCATTGCCTTCTTTCGCAGAGCTGCAGAGCTTATTGAACGCAATCAGAGCAACAGCAGGCTCGACGACTGCTGCTCCACAGGCAGTGACATCGACCACGCAAGCTCCGGTAACAGCTCCACCAACTGCCGCAACTGAAGCTAAAATACCTTCTCTTGCTGAGTTGCAAAGCTTGTTGAACGCACTGGGAATATCCCTTCCAGCAGCCGTGAATCAGGCTCCAGCAGTCGTAACCCAGGCTCCAGCAGTCGCAATCCAGGCTCCAGCAGTCGTAACCCAGGCTCCAGCAGTCGCAACCCAGGCTCCAGCAGTCGTAAACGAGGCTCAAGCAGTCGTAAACTAGGCTCCAGCAGTTGCACCAACCACCGCTTCATAACCAGCATATACATGAAGTCAATCTACTCCAAGGGAGCTAATGTATTTAATTATGTGTTGAAGATATAATAAAAAAATTATTCTTATGTTGGCTTTTTCACTTCTGCCAATTTTTCTTTTATTTGCTTGCACTATCTCGCAATTACTCTGTTTATTTCCTTAAAATCAAATTTGTATTTAAAGACAAATTTTTTCTAGTTTACTTTGAAGAACGCTTCAATAATACTCAATATTTCACTCCACGCAATAATAAAAATCTGGTCATCAAATGCGAATGGAAATTATTTTCTGGCCATGTTGGATTATTATAAAAAAATTTAAATTGCATTTATAGCCGAGCTAAAGCTTAAAGCTTACAGCTAACAAATCATTAATACCATTAAAATAACAAAAATCCTATTTATTATATCATTGGTTGATTACGGATTGTACGACTATTAGTTATTAAAATTATTTTTCGCCACTCTCCGTTGCCTTCTACAACTTTATTTATTTGATATTGTTTTTTCTAAAATTCTCCGCTTTCCAACGATATATTATACGTATACCTTCTGACTAGTATTTCCGAAGATTCATTTTCGACCTGTATCAGCATTTTTATTTTTCTCCAGTTCCTAATTATCATATTCTCTCAAAGTTTATATTTAGCCATTTTCTATATCAATGGGGAATTTTCTACATCAATGCGGATAAGACCTATATGATATTAAAGACCACTTAATTTTACAATGATACAACGAGTTTAATAAAAATCGTAAGTGCCTTTTTTGAGAAATTGTATAAATGTGTTATATCACCGTTGATATAAAGTGGCATACCTTGCCAAGTGAACCATATATAAATCTTAAATACGTAATATAAGTTTTTATATTACGACTGTGTATTTTGCGGAACTTGGTTATTTGGACTCAGGGGGCCTCAAAACGTGTATTTCCGTTGGAAACTCACATTCGAAAATTTTCACGATCGGTATACTTTTCCTTATTATATATTACATTTATAGGTAAGTGAACGTAAACACTAGTGTTCCCTAAATGGTCGAAATTTGACAATAAATATTATTGAATATTAGAGAAAAACATAAATTAATTTGCATGTTAAAAAAAAACTCGTCACTACTCTTTAATAATCGTACATTCACTTTTATATTTATTTAAAAAAGAAAATAGTACAGTACTATTTGTGTATTTTTTGAGTTACTGACAAATCTTTTTTTTTTATATTTAAGTAAGCCCACTTTGTTCAATCGGTCAAAATAAAAAAAATATGTTGGATATGAAAATTCGTATTTGAGGTTTTTCCAGATGCGAAATACAAACCTCGATTTGTTTTCTCCTTAAAAAACTATTTGAGCCAACTTAGCTCCTTCGGTTCGTTTCAACATTGTACTTATACTAAATCTAATAACTAAAATCTGTGTTCCAAACATGATTTTGTCATAATAGAAGTCTAAAAAATATAAACCGAAAAAATCCTATCAAAAAAACATAATTCGTTTCAGTTTCGATGATTTTTTTTATTTTGAGAGAATTCAGAAAGCTTTCAAATCAAATACTCATAGATTTAATGAATCGAAAATTGTGTACTTTTGAGTTTCCCTTTGAGTTTCCCGAATAAAATTCTGAATCAATCGATACTTTTTTTATTAGTCTCATTTCGAAAAAAACAGACCAGATAACAATGGAATGTATACAATAACACTTCTAAATTTGATTGCAACGTTATATCGAAATATCAAAGAATTCAGTGAAGAAATTGCGGATATTAGACGTTTTGGACAAACTAACATTTATACTTTTATTTTCAGTTTCCAATTTTTTTTTTATTGATTTCACTGAAGATCGTCAATAGCAACTAAACAAAAAAAGAAAATCAGTTGAAACCTGACCCGAAACCTAAAAATTAGAATTTACAAGACTATTATCCTTCCTACGGTTCTGTGTGGATGCGAAACTTGGTCACTTACATTAAGGGATGAACAACGTCTTAAGGTTTTCAAAAATAAAGTATTGCGCTGAATATTCGTTCCGAAGAAGGATGAATCAACCGAAGAATTTAGGCGGTTACACAACGCTCAATTGCGTGAACTGTACCGGGTTAATATAATTAAAATGATTAAGTTGAGGCGAATAAAATGGGCATGCGAATTCGCAGGGATGAGTAACGAAAGAATTCCTAAAAAGGTAATATGCGCTGTGCAGACTGGTAAGCTTCCGAGGAGTAAACTGAAGCGAATGTGGAAAGTTTGCGTTAATGCTGATCTTGAAGATTTGGGTTTAGAAGGCAACTAAACTAAATTATAAATAATCATTTACAATCAGCATAATAATAATCCACTTGTTCGATTCCTAGCTCTTTCACAATACTTAATAACACTTAAGTAGATTGGTATATAAACCGCGGTGGTTCTTAAATTTTTAACTGCCGGCAGTAAACCGCCGAACTGCTCATCATGAGAGATTTCGTTGCCGCCTCCAACGCCGCCCCACTATTCCCGTTCCTCCCGAAGTGACCTATGCTCTCACCACCACCTCCTTTTTACGGTCCGAGACTATGTGTCAAGTTGTGTGTATGCCAACCACCAACCACCACAACCACACCTGTTCAGCAATCGCCTCCTCTTGGGGAGTTGAAGTACTTGCCGTATTCATTGCTGTCAACCATGAAAGTATGAAGTTCCATGAAAGCTCCAACAACGACACACGAACAACTATCTCATGCAGTATTTCAGATCTTTGTTGAACGCATTAGCAGGATCACTAACAAATTCTAAAAAGCCCCGAGATACTGCCATGTCTCTCACCACTACACTGAGTTAAAGCGGCTCTTTCCCTCCTTTCGAAGACAATATTTCCTATGTACGTTCCTTTATCAAAACAACAATCATCGCCCTTCTTACGCCTACAACCTTCTCAAATTCAACTCCTCAGTCCATTCCCTTTCTACAAGATCTCGACCTTCCGGCCTCTACACCCCTTCTCACAGATCTGTCTCATTTCAAAAATCCTTTATTGCTCGCTCTGCCAATTTCTGGAATTCCCTACATATCAAAATTCGATATTCCCTCTCCACATTCACATTCAAAACCCTCCTATTCCAATTCCTATCTCAACAACAGTTAGATGTTTGCTAACCTCATTTATATCATATCATTCATCATCAAATGATAGTACTATCCCTTACTTTAAACTTCAGTAGGGGTATTACAATATCTCCCTACTCTTAATGCCACTGAAAGCACCTATTGCTTGTTTTTACTATTATTTTTTTTATTATAATACAACTAAATCTGTACCTATAATTACAATAAGATAATGATATGTTTAAATATTATTGATTATTTAAATAGTCTGACATTTTATATTCAGATTCGACTTTCCTTTGTTAGGAGAAACACAGAGCTTATTTTATAGAAGGATTCAATATATTTTTTATTTATTTTTCTTAAAAGTGTATATCTAATTATAATTTTTCCTACTGTGCATAGTGCCTTGTTATGACGCTATGGTGTAAAGTGTTTTGTATATAGGTTTATTTTTCTGTAATAGCTTGTTCAACTAATATTTTCTTTCATACTTTTTTTTAAAAATATCGTTCTACTTCATCTATTGTATAATTATTTACCTTTCTTTATTTTATGTATGTATTTTTGACAAATGTCACCATTGGTCAAAAATCAAAAATTTGTCACATCTTTTTACAAAAATATTTTATAAAAAAATATTTAAAAAAAATATCTTAAAAAATGTGACAAATATTTGATTTTTGACAAATGATGCCACATCAAAAAAAGAAAGGTAAATAATTGTACAATATCCGAAATTTCTTCCCTGATTTCTTTGATATTTCGATATAATGTTGCAATCAAATTTAGAAGTGTTATTGTATACATTCCATTGTTATTTGGTCTGTTTTTTTCGAAATGGGGCTAATAAAAAAAGTATCGATTGATTCAGAATTTTATTCGGAAAACTCTAAAGTACACAATTTTCGATTCATTAAATCTATGAGTATTTGATTTGAAAGCTTTCTGAATTCCCTCAAAATAAAAAAAAATCATCGAAACTGAAACGAATCATGTTCGATAGTAAATTTTGATAGGTTTTTTTCGGTTTATATTTTTTAGACTTCTATTATGACAAAATCATGTTTGGAACACAGATTTTAGTTATTAGATTTAGTATAAGTACAATGTTGAAACGAACCGAAGGAGCTAAGTTGGCTCAAATAGTTTTTTTAAGGAGAAAACAAATCGAGGTTTGTATTTCGCATCTGGAAAAACCTCAAATACGAATTTTCATATCCAACATATTTTTTTTATTTTGACCGATTGATCAAAGTGGACTTAATTAAATATTAAAAAAAAAGTTACGGTTGATTAATTTGTCAGTAACTCAAAAAATACACAAATAGTACTGTACTATTTTCTTTTGTAAATAAATATAAAAGTGAATGTACGATTATTAAAGAGTAGTGACGAGTTTTTTTTAAACATGCAAATTAATTTATGTTTTTCTCTAATATTCAATAATAATTATTGTCAAATTTCGACCATTTAGGGAACACTAGTGTTTACGTTCACTTACCTATATATGTAATATATAATAAGGGAAAGTATACCGATCGTGAAAATTTTCGAATGTGAGTTTTCAACGGAAATACACGTTTTGAGGCCCCCTGAGTCCAAATAACCAAGTTCCGCAAAATACACAGTCGTAATATAAAAACTTATATTACGTATTTAAGATTTCTATATGGTTCACTTGGCAAGATATCCCACTTTATATCAACGGTGATACACATTTTTACAATTTCTCAAAAACGGCACTAACGATTTTTATTAAACTCGGTGTATCATTGTAAAATTAAGTGGTCTTTAATATCATTTGGATCTTATCCCCATTGATGTAGAAAATTCCCCATTGATATAGAAAATGGCTAAATATAAACTTTGAGAGAATATGATAA